GAGAGAGAGAGAGAGAGAGAGAGAGAGAGAGAGAAATGACATATGTCACTATGTCGCAAAAGGTTAAAGGGATGCTGGAGTTGAAAATTTTACCGACAGAACACTGACATTTTTCTGCAAAGTTTATGTTGCATTTACAAATAGAATTACAAATGCTTTTACATGGTTACATAGAATTGCAAATGCTTTTACGTAATAAAAATACGTGCAAAAATAAATAGGAACATTTCTCGATATGTGACGAAAAGAAAGAAAAAAATTTTAATGTAAAATCTCAAGAGAGCTGTCAGTTAGCGTAATATTTGCCTAAACCAAAAGTTCCGCAGCTTATATATATTGAAAATGTGGATGCTCCAAACAGAAAAATTTTGAAGAACATTGTTTTAAATTTCTGCTAAATTTAATTGTTAATTGAAACGACCTTTAATTCTCTTCGTTTATCTCAATTGCTGTCTTTAACTGAATTTGTTGAAATCAATCGTCAATCGAACAGTCTAAATTTGTTAAAATCAATTGCCAATTAAACGTTCTTCAATTGAATTAGCTCATATTCTCTAATCGTCAATTAAACACGATAATTAATTAAAAATGTAACTAATTTCTCATAACCCTTATTCCAACGCTCTCACTACCAACAGCTTGTTTACAGCACAATTTTAAAACATGATCATGTTTTGTATATAATTGAATATGAAATATAGTTGAATATAATTGAATATGAAATATAATTGAAACGTACATCTGAAATTGTTATCTTCTACATTGCATAGTAAATTGTAAGCAGGCGCGCTTCAAAACGACGCATCCGTGAAAAGTTAATCTTGAAAAAACAAAAGTTTTTATAATGTTTAACATCTAACTCATTACTTATTATAAATTTTGGAAATATTAATATAACATACTGATAATATAACGTGTACTAATTTCAACAAATGCAATTTAATCATACGTAATCATACATAATCGTACATAATACTATATACTAATAAATAAGACTGTTAAAAATAATGCTATTATTTTATTTTGCCTCATGTAATTCATTTTTCTATCAATAGGACTATCACACACATTTGAACTATCATTAGGATTTGCCTAAGCTATTGGTCTACGTTTTTCTTCATACGATTTACAAAATCATTCCTAGCATAGAAGAAAGTTGTGTTTAGCATTTTTGTATAATATTTCACAGCAATTGTCTAAAAAATTTTAACGCTGAAATTCTGAAAAGTGTATATCCTGTTTTCTCAATAACCTGATAATATTAATTTATGGAGTAAATATACCCAACGAATAGGAGAACCAGTTCCTGTAACCTTGACTTTGACATATGTATAGAGGTCATCCTCTACACATTTTCTTTTATCGTTCCTTTATTTTTGATGTCCATTCTGTTTACTTTTAATATTTGTAAAAAAGTGAATATGTATGTACATATATGTACATATATGTATATACATATATATATATATATATATATATATATGTATGTATATATATATATATATATATATATATATATATATATATATAGAGAGAGAGAGAGAGAGAGAGAGAGAGAGAGAGAGAGAGAGTAACCTTCAAAAGGTTTTAGCTGTCGTTCGTTGTTTACTCAAAAGTTATTAACGAAAAAATTTCATTAATGCCACATAGTTTTGCGACGCTGTATAAATTAATGTGCACATATATATACGCACAAGTATATGCGCGGAGGAGGGACTCTGTCTCTCCCCCCATACCTCCTTTCCAAAAAATAATCCTAACCTAATCTATTTATTGAAATATTGTAAACAAAATATTGTTTACATTTTTACACATAACTTGTCAATAAAAAACAATATAACAATACAAATGCGGGGAGAGCAATACTGCTTGCGATATTTTTTGCACATAGTATATATGTGTATGCTCCGTAGCCACTTGCGCAACTCCTATAGTTTCCGAAATATTAATAAAAAAGGTGCCTGTCCCTAGTCGTGTAACTGGGAGAGCTACGCCCCCCAGACCCCCCGCACCGCGATGGGGGGTGGGGGCGCAGTCTTTTGTAAGAAGTTCTCACCTTTAAAAATTACATCTTTTTTTATAAAATTTCTAAGATACATTTCAATTTGTATAGCGTGAAGAAACTGCACCATATTTACGAAACTTCTTTTGTTTATAATTTTGAGCTTAAGGGGGCATAGCCCCCAATTACACGACTAGGGACAGGCGCCTTTTTTATTAATATTTCGGAAACTATTGGAGATGCATAAGTATTTCGTTATTTTCATATATACTGAGTGCAAAAATTACGTTCCTTTTATAAAAATTTTTTTATTGATGAGTTAGGTTAGAGTTAGTTTTTTGGGGAGGGGCTTTGCCCCCCTCCGCGCATATACATATATTGTTTATCATATTTTAATGTATGCTGCTTATCAAAATTGTTTTATTTATAAAAATTCTTTTGTTAATAACTTTTTAACAAACAATAAGCAATGCTTAAAACTTTTTGAATGTTACTTAGGG